GGGGGGAGTGGGGGAACCAGCCTAAGCAGACCCACTCCCCAACCACAAGACACCACCACAGGGAGGGGGAAGCAACCCACAACCACACCACACCACAGGGAGGGGGAGGAGGAACCATTGGGGGGGGAGGGGGGGGGGGCCGGCCGAACCGGGATCATATATACACGATATATAGATGTATACATACTTATACATATATATATATATATGGGTATGCGCTTACTTATATATATATATATATAGATATAGATATAGATATAAATATGTATATATATATATATATACATGTGTTATTGATATACTATATTACACTGTACTCAATATCCTACTATACTGTATTATACTATATTATCCTGTCTTATCTTATCTTAAACTATATAATATTACATTTTTAATATACTATATTGAAATTTTAGTAGCTTATCTTATCTCAGTTTTCTTATCTTATATTATCTTATATTGTCTTGTATTATCTTATATTAAAGTATGTGATATTATAGTATATTCTGTTATATTGACTTAACATGTATTATATTATATTTTGTTCTACTATATTATATTAAAGCATATTTTTATATGATACTATCTACTATATTGTATTAAAGAATACTTTTTATATGATACTATATTCTACTACATCATAGTATCTTATATACTCTCTATTCATTTAACACATATGATAATGATAATACAAGGTTTTAAGATTTACGGTTTAGGGTTAGACTACATGCGGCCATATGAGATATGTGACTGTGTATGGTTTCGCTTGACTGTAGGTCTGGATGCATGGGTAGAACGTGATGCCTTCTAAAAAGGACACAAGATGTGTATATGTGTGCATGCAGATGAAGCGTAGATAGACATGGTAGCATGTGACTACTTGAGATGTTGTATGATTCTAGATAATGTTCTAGAACTCATGTAACAAATCGAGATGCTAGACGATTGCGCCATATGTCCCTAAGAATGCAAATGCAGCTGTATAAACAAGTCGCTGCGGGACTTGGCTAAATGTTGCTATACATTATTGTGTGTCTGCCTGCACAAAACTGCCCATGATGTCAAAGAACCGCAAGTGACAGCTGCATGCGACTACTATGTGACTACATTCGAACCAGGTCTGGCTTCTTGTGGTTGTGTAGGCTGTGTACGTCTATGTTTGACAGCTGTGCAAAAGTTGATTCTGCGCGACTACATTGGTTTATCAATGGTCGTAACCAATTACAGATGAGTAATCATGACTTCATACTGATATGGCTCTCTGCAATTCTATCTGACAAAAGCTGGCAATGTACGATACTGTTGGGCAAGAGATGCTGAGATCCACAAGTGATTGCACAAAACTCGCTCCTCATATGTGTGAGTAAACGCTGGCAAATGCTTGCACATCAGCTCGATATCACGACGTATGAAACCTGTTACTGTTTGTGATAGCATGTCCCAGCTATGATCAAGGTTATACACGTTGCCAAAATTTCTGCAAGATTAGGCATAAGAACAAGCTGCAGATGCATGACAACAAACATACACATGTAGGCATATATCCTGATCACTGATATGCTCATACATCCCGAAAAAGAATAGACCGCAGGCTTAGGCATGGCGATTTTCGCTAGCTCAGCAGTCATAACTTGATACAACATGATGTTGTTTAGCATTGCGGACAGTCGGAACGATGCTATGCTTTGACTTTCGGCGGTGGGTTGGTATGCACCCTAGTTCAACTCAGTATAGTTGTCACATGCATGAGTATATATGTTTCAGTCAGCGTTAATCTAGCTGGTTTTGAAATCCTGAGTCTTGCCATGCCTTTTGGGTCAATAGGATCTCATGCTACCTTTTGCTCAGGAGCCCGAATACCGCCATGCTGTCGCTTACGAGCCTATACAGCTCAATTCAGCTCCTTGAGGACCTCGGCATTCCGGATTATAAAGCGGATGAAAGCTAACTACCTTCTTGCAAAGCCGGCGATAAGCCGAAGATGGTAAAACGTTCCCTCCCCTTGAATCATCACCACACAGCAAGTGAGAAAATGGAAAAGGAGTGCGCTTTCACCTTTCTGGCCTTCTAAGAGCTTCAGATGCGTGACGAAGTTCCCGCTTCTGGGTCTCGCAAGTCTTTTCCTGCTCTGATTCAGGATTTCGGATTACGCCATCTGTCTGCCCATCACTCACCCTGCGTCTAAACGCCCCTAGTGAGGGCACAGCAATGCGATTTTTCTGCCACATGAGGCAAGGTCTGCCAGCATCAAGCCAGGCTAGTCCGCACGCAGAACTTGGAACTTCAAGTATGAGGCCCACGCCAGTGGGAAAAGAAAAGGAGTGGTGGCACCCATGTTGAGGAAAATCTGCCACATAATCGTTGGCTCCTGTCGACTCTGATGCCGTCTCCTCTTCCGGTTTTTTCACCTGAGTCATTGTTGGCTCCTGCGGCAGCGGCTCGAAGAGATGAACATACACACCTGCCGGTGCAGCGTTTCTGTTCGCTGCTAGACCCAAGGCAACTCGCGCCGCTCTCTAGCTTTCATGGCCAAAGTCTTTGTCATTTCGATCTATTTGCATCATTCCTAGACATAAAACTGCCAGCTAGCCTCTTCTTGGTGTGCTGTAGGATGGGAGCAGGTATGGCCAATGTCTGGGCGACCCGGTGGAACCCTTCTTGGAGCTTCGCAAACGCAACTTACATGAAAGGGTATCCATACTACGTCTGTGCAACTGGCCGCTTTCGTAATGACGTCATCTGAAAGTTTTTCGACATGCAACGTGCAGCCTGGATGGCGAATTCACATGTAGCTGATGCGGCAAAATCTCACAGAATCTCGCGGCCTGAGGCGGTCCAAGCCGCTCCACCCAAGAGGTTCAGTGCATAGGAATTGAACAGTGCCTCAGAGTTTTGAGAGTGCCTTCTAGGGCTGTACTCTGCACCACTCTTCGGTAAGACACAAGGAGAGCCCTCACGGAAACGTCGTGGCAAATCTGGCCCAAACTTCAAAAGCCATGTACAGTCAGAATAGCAGAGATGAGCCCAGAAGCATAGCCTTACATCATGGAAACCAGGTAAATGCTTGAATCTTCAGCAGTGCTCTAGCCTCTCTCAATGTCAAGAATATCGGACTACTACTTGGCTGACGGCTATTCTTCCTGTTAATGCTTTCTGGCAGCATGTTTTTTCACCACTCTTGACCTTGATCGAAGCCAGATGACCAGACAGGTGGTAAGCCTGCAGATACCCAGGAAGGAATGTCCAAGGCATCGTCTCTACAGATCCGACACACGCTTTTGCTGCTTCCAGACGAGCGACTCCACACACAGCAGGAAGTCTGTGACAGAGTTGGTTGGTCTCGCCCCATGCGCACCGATGGAAAGCATGATGGCACAGAGCCGACTTAAAAGCGACACAATTCTTTACATTCGCGCTCCAAACGCGACCAGCATCGATTGCTGAAAGGCTGACATGGAAATAAGACCATCGTGAACAGAAGCACCCCACAACACTACTCTCGTGCCGGATCACTAGCAGGCAGTGCGTTCACAGGGTAAGGTTCAGAGTTGTAGCCAGGTTGGGAGCACGCTTCCCATGTCAGGATTGGCAGACTGGTCCGAGGGTTAGGGTTTGGATGTATGTAACATGTCAAGCAATCTATGGTTTAGGCATACCGACGCACAACAACTGAGCACGCATCCCGCAGATGAGCAGCCCCTGGGTGAACATCGACAGGGTGATACCACAAGGTAGCAGAATGCATGTTTCTGACACTCGAGGCACTAAGGCGAACGCCTGCACGGCCTTGGCTGTGGCTCCACATGACATGTCATCCAGCTTAAACAACCCCGCATCACTGCAAACCTGTGCAAGCACCTCGCTTGCTTTATTTTGCTCATAAAGCCTTGGAAATCGTTCAACGTCACGGAGGCTTGGAGCGTGGCAGGATGACATGGTAGCCAACTCTACTTTTGCAGGCGCAATCAACGTCCTGAACAAATGCACTGCGCAGAGGCCAGAATGAGCACGGCAATGGCGGTAAAAGAAAACACCCCAAAATACGCACGACATCGTAGTAGTGAACCTGCACTGCGAGAGCCGCTAAACTTCACCAAACAAAAACAAGGCTCCTAGGTCCTTGGGAAGGGTGAGCCTTGTCTTTGACAAAACCAGCTTCCAAGAAATCTCAAACCAATCGTTTCAAATGAAACTGCAATAACATTGAGCCTATTGTAGGGACACGAACCTGATCCCTCTACTCCTAACCCAACGTAACAACCCCACAGGCCGACAGTGGCTTTCAAACTGCATGTCCCGCACGCGGCATTGGCAAGATTGATGCGGTCTTTCGACGTCAGCCTTGCCATAGTCGCATCGTGGTCTACACGAGTCTACATGTCATGGACGTACAATGCTTTGGCCCTTGCCTCCGTGACGTGCATCGGACGAAAGTCTGTTGAAAACAGCGAGACTCGTTCATCGCATACGAGATGTACACCTGGAACGAGCGTCAGCCAACTCTTCGCCAAGAAGTGTGTCCGCTCCAAGTCATTGCGACAGAAAAGCCACAGCGACAGCCTGGCAAAAAAAACTTTGAAGCATGTCATGCTTCTGCACACCGGCACCACGTTTCTGCACACCACAACGCAATGATGACATTGCATGTCAAGCTGAGTGGCACACGCATGCCGCGCCGACAAAGCAATCGTTCACATGCGCGACAGCTCAAGTCCAGGACTTTCTCCTCCGCTTTTTCGGCAACATCACCAACTGGGCGATGCAATGTAACTTCTCCGGTGTGCAGAACGCCTCCGGCAAAGTGTCGTCGTCAGTCGGACATTCTTCTTCAAATGCTTCAGCAGCTTCATCTGCATGACTGGGCGGTTGCATTTCCACCACCTGGCAAGCCATGCTCCATGTCCGGGCATCATTCCTGCGATTGGCAAAACAACAGCAAGATTCGAAAACAGAAGCCTCTGCTGCATCCTGGGGAGCTTGTGTTTCCTGCCCAGTTGCGAGCATATGAAAACATTGTGGAAGCATGTATCGGGGCTTTTGGCCGTGACTGGAATGACTGGAGCCTCCATCGCTACGACTTTATCTTTTCGCCGGCCAGTGTTGCCTCGCACGTTCACAACTTTCTGCATGCAAGTAACTACATCACCAAGTCCCGAACTGAAGCTGGACAATTGGTTTGACATTCTGGTTTGCGCGGAATCTTCCGGGCGGCTGGGACATGAACGACATTGTCAAACTGCATTGCGTACGTGCCAAAAACATGCCGTGCCAGCTTAACGATACCGAAAGACATCGCAGTTTCGAAAAAACATCGAAACAGTTTGTGCACGAGCATCTGTCGCAACTTCGTCAGCGATATTTCCGACATCGACCCGAAACGGCTCTGTCATGATGCTTTAGTTCTGACTAACTAGCGACCTGCTTAAGCTCTGGGCAAAAGAAACGCGCAGCAGTTCTTTTTGTCAAGGTGTGCTCGGAATAGTCAGGCGATGCTCCGAATCGGAGGCTTGCGTGCGTGCAGACCAGGACGGCCCCGAGAAAGAGGACTGTAGTCAAGGGCGTGCATGGCTTGCATACCATCATTTCCCACATGACTATGAGGGCCAAAAGTATGGGGGATGCTTCTTTGCGATCCACCTCCCTGCTTTGCTTTGCGTATGCAGATATGACGGCTGAGCTCATTGCTTCTGCTAGTGCTTGCCAGGTAATTGTCTTGGCAAGCCATCGCAATGCCTTGATGCTAGAGTTCGGGCTCATCTGGTGAACCTCTCTGTCCTCTTGCTTGCTTGCGGCGCATGCCAGCATGTAATCTGCGGAATAACGCGCGGATCCGCAGGTG